ACTTGGATTGGATTGGATTGGATTGGATGTACAGAAAGTTTTCTACTTTATGGAATGACCCATGAGAAGATCTGAAAATAACCTTTATTGTAATTGGTTTAAGAAAAACCACATTTTTGCGTGTACAGTGTACATAATTACTGTAGCTATTTCTCATGTACATAATTAGCAATTTGTGCATATTTAATGAGCTGTGACCTTTGGCGTACACACTCAACATTACTTACATTATTGAATGAAAACCACTTTTTCACATACGGTATATGTATAATTAGGTATTTGCACATATTTAATGAGCTATGACCTTTGACCTACTTACTTCGAAATTGAACTTAGGGTGTATTTTCATACCATGTACCTTCATATCAAATTTCATTAAAATCAGCAAACATCACTAAAGTTATCGCACAGAAACCAGATTTGTTAAGGACTGAAGGACAAATGGGAGGGGATAGTTATCACACACCATTCTGCAATGGTTGATCTATATATTTTATCATGTTCTCTGAATTTCCAAATAAAGAGCCAAATATTTGGTCTTGGCATCAAAAACTACCAAAAATTAAAGTAACAGTGAATTTGTTTGTCTCTCTCCATTTGGCTCCATACATTGTATCTGACAGAGTTTTTAGCTATAGAGTAGTGGGTTGTGAAAAGTTTCTTGTATCCACACGTAGAGTATTCCACGCGGTAGTTATGAAACTGTCTATGAGCGGATGGATACACCCCCAGTTGGAATAAACACAGTCCCATGTATACGTCTTCTAGATAAAGGAACGGCGTGTGCAGAGATATTGTGTACACGTTCCTCGCAACATCGCCAGACATAACGTAACCTGCCCCCGAACAAAATGGCGGATACCACTCTCCTGGATAAATACTTTTGGGAACATGCCACCTGTGTCCCACAATTCGGTTAGGTTTGGCCCGTATCACAATACAGCTTACAAAGTTGTTGCGTGGGATAGAAGTGGATGACAGATATCTGAAGAGATTTTCATAAATGACGATCATATCATCATCTGTTTTCATTACATAATTTGCGTGTGGGCAGAATTGACTGACCCACTTCATACCCATAATGGTCTTCAAAGTAAGATTCTTGTAGGAGTCTTGAAAGTCACTCATGATGATGTCATGGTATGAAGCACTTTCCTCTTCCACGATGCGCTGGTATTCTGTATTGCCTTTGGAAGGTTTGGCAAGAAGGAACAGCGTGATGATGTTGTTCCCGTTAATCTCCCCCGGACTCCCCCATGTCTCACGAATTGTTTTCCGGTGCCCGACGTTTTTGTGAATAGTTGCGACGAGCACGAGCAAGAACACCAACTTACTCCTACCGTCTTCATTCTGACACTTGTTAGGTTCGTTGATTAAGAACTTGTATGGATGAGGATTGATGGCTGGCAATGACTGGCTGATCTGAATAGAGAAAGAAAAACATGAAAACACAAATGTTGAAACTGGAAAGGAAACAAAACTGAAACATGGGTTTAGTAGCTATAGAAATGCAAGCTAGAATTATTTATTAAACGTCACCTGCTACTCTGCTAGGTTGCATTATTTCGTGCTTTTATAACCATTACCATTATCATTCATAATGGAAATTCCCGCAAACGAGGTGCCCTTTTTATCCATGTGCAAAAGGCTTACATGAGATTTATGAGGGGGGATGTTAAAAGCTTGCTATAAATAATGGTTTTGCGTTTGTGAATTGCAAGTTACACCGGATGATTTCACTATTCGAGTTGAACTCCGGACAGTTGGTTAAGATGAGAGACTCATGTATTGCTACAAAGACACTACCCCACAGTCATTTCCACCTTTGCGGAATACTGTGTAATTACTAGGAAATACACTGTTATGTTAAGTAGGGGTCGTTTCGTCAAGTTCTGATTCGCAACCAAGGATCATGTCTGGCTTGTGGTGACTAATCTTTGCTCAGAATTGGGAGTACTTTGCAGAACTTTTAGGACAATTGCAAATGATAATGAATGATGCCCTTCAGAATCTTCCTGCAGTTTTTAGATGGTGAGAAGTGAGGGCATGGTCATGATGGCGGTAGCCTCGATGCATGACCAGAGGTAGCTGAAGTTGGTGTGGACGTCTAGCAATGATATTGAACATCATTGGTAGTGTCACTGATGCTTTAATGACTCAAACTGATTGCTTGTGGAGAGGCTGGTATTCCTGAAGGAAGCTGCTGGTTCTGCATCAATGCATTACCGGTGATATTAAACAATAATAATAATTTTTTTAAAGGAGAGCAGGAGGTAAAGAGATAAAATTACACTGCATTTATATTGTAGCATAACTAGCCCAGTAATTTAGTAAGACTTAGAGGGCGTTATAGTTAATTGTGAAATATATACATGTACATGTACATCGTGAGATGTCAGTCAGTCAGCGTTGACCTGTCGTTGCGACAGGTCCGTTACCAGGAAAGAGTAAAGTTATTTGAACTGCAGATACTGTGCAAGTGTTGTCTTACACGATATACTTTTGTGAGAGCCCACTGAGAGATATAGTTGATGAATGATTGTCGAGATTGTGGACCGGGTTTTGAGAGACTGCAAGGCAGCACGCTACCCCGGCAGAGCCACAATATTATATATTAAAGTTTAAACCCTGCATCTGCAAGTATATATATTATTATATTAGTAGGCCTATTAGATCTAGAGGTCTAGTGCTATTTGATACATACATGCAGAGTCTACTTTCCATTAAATTAATAAATTAAATACAGAGCTTCCAAGTGTCAAACATTATGGGTGAGCTCACGCTTTCGAGGGTCTGAAAACGCTCTCGCGCATGATGCGCGCGCACGATTTTGAAACGTATGCTACTATGCTATACGCTATTACGCTATATCTACGCTATTTACCCTTGAACGCGCACGCCAAGTCATCTTTGAAATTGAACTTGGCGTTTCTGTAAATACCAAGGCAAAAGCGATGTCTTTATTTTTGTACATCCCCCCCCCCCCCCTTCATGAACTAAAAGTAGTACTAGTAGGTTACCGTCATGATCACATATTCATCAATTTCATGTTTTTTTCTTCCCTTTCAAGTAGATAAATCCCTTAACCTTAGCCTTAATATGCCCCTAGCCCTGGCCCTTACTAATACTAGGCTTAAAGTTAAACATTCTCGTAAGCGGTCACTCCTGCAAAGCATAGAGAGTCAATGATAATGCGTACATTGACCTTTAGCACTGCACTACGTGTTAATAGGCAGCATTTAAATACATGAATAGTCAATACACTCACAACACATAAATGCACCAAATCATGCCGATGCGGCTGATCGGCAAGTTTGACAATGACAGTAGACTCACGATTCGAATTTTTAAATTATTCTTTCTAACATCGGAAAGTTGAAATGATTGTATTTTACTGCTATTTAGGTGTCATCAATTGTCACTAAAGTACCGATTTTGAGTGAAATTAGTTGAGTCTTGCACAGTGGTGTTTGAAATGTGTTTGAGAATCAATAGCACAGCTTTTAATACACAGCCAGGATAGTAATGCACCTACGTGTGTAAGCGGTGTGTATAGTATACTTACATCTGCTTGGTTGCCGAGTAAGATCCGTCTGTCCTTAGGTCTAGACGAGTTAGGGTCCTGCGAGAAAATCACAATTTGTGAAAGGAAATCACTGCCATAACGTCCCCAAATTAAGTATGATGCGATTATTCTGCAGATTAGGTATGCAGTGCAAAGATAGAATAAGGTTCTGTAGACAACCTTCTTCCTCACGTTCATTGTTGTAGCCTGTAACTTTTTACCTGTATTATATTGACGTACCGGGCGGGCGGGCGGGCGCAGCAAATATGAATATTCATGAATAGAGCGTCGTTCGCTCGAAATTGCTGAATATGCACAAGGTTGAGAAGGCTCTTTTTCTTTGATCATGCATATTCAACAATTTCGAGTGAATGGTGATCTACTGCATGAATATTCATATTTGATGTGCCGCTACCGCACAGAATTTCAACACAAAGTTCAATTTCGACCAACATAATGCTATTTTGGGATGTTCATTGGTTCATCGAACACACCAGTCCTGACAAAATCATGCATATTCAACCAATGGTCCATAAAAATACATTGGCTTATTGAAGGATCATTCATGAAACTCTTGACAATTCAACAAAATGTTTGTAAAAAGCCCGGTGGGGTCACTCAATGTGACTTCCGGACCGCATGACCGTTACCAAAATCGCGGAAAAAGGGGTCAATTTCAAGCAATGTCCGCGGACAAAATATTCCTCGAAATTAAGAAAATAGGGGGGCACATGTGTCCCCAAAATTGATAAATAGGGGTCAGGAAAAGGGAAAAGAGAAAACCGGGAAGGGAAAAGAGAAAACGGGGAAGAAAAATTCTCGGAGCCGAGTCTTGTCCTTGAAATATGGTAAAATAGGGGTAAATTTGCGAAAGTGTCCTTACAATCTTATAAATAGGGGTATTCCAAAGTACGATTTTGTCCTTGTTTTGACGTAAAAAAGGGGGTTAAATTTCACAAAATGTCCTTGAAATTGACCGCAAAAGGGGGTTATATGCATTGGTGGTAACGGTCATACGTGTCACTCTTTGCAGGGGAGTGACCCCACCGGGGTAAAAAGTACCAATGCATAATTCTTCAAAATGTTGACGAACACAGTCTAACAAAACGAAAGACAATGACAGTGTAATTATTGCCTCAAGAAAGAAGGTCAACTAGCCAAGTAATGTGACCAAAGAAGGTCAACTGGCCAAGTAATGTGACGAAAGACAATGACAGTCTTTCTTTAGCAGGTATGTTTCAATGAAATGTGTGTAAAAACAAAATGCTGCATGTTTAGAAATTGCTTCAGTGGATGTACTAAAGCAAACTATTAATCGGAAGTGTAAACATAATGGAAAAATCCATAGTTCCATAAGAAGTATCTGCCCATTGAATAGATCTAGGAGTGCAGTGTACATGTGTTCTTAATGTAATTTTGTTTTTGTTTTATACAGGCTAATCAACTCACTGAAAAGCAAATTGCAGGTAAGAATCATTCAAGTGTTAACCTACCTAGAGATGAGTTCTGATCCAGTCATTCCAATGATCAGATATGAAAGAAGTTGTCTGGAAACAGGCAGATTTTTTATGAAAGAAACTGCATGAAAGTAATTGGGAATTTTGATAATGATTAGAGTTTTAGACTCTTCAAAATGTGCATTGCACTAAAAATGTGTATGTGGGCAGGCGCGCCGGAAGCAGTTTGGGATTGGGGGGGCAAACATTCCAGGGGGCTCACCTTCCGACGGCAGTGACGTAATGAGAAAAAACGTTCGGAAGGGGGGGGGGGCAGACGAAAAATCTGCATCACCACCAGTCTTACACGTTACATGCAGGTCCCGCGGAACGTTTTTCAAAGTGAAGTATTAACGATCAGGTAGAGCGTAAATTGGCGTGGGGTCCAGCCTCGGCAGGGTGTCAAGGGGCTGAGCCCCGGAAGCTCAGGGATTTTAGGTATTTAATTACGGTTAGATGAGCATCCAGTGGCCTCTTTAAGGCCATTGACGTGTTCCAGAGGGGGGGGGAGCCCCCAGAAGCTCAGAGGTTTTAATATTTAACTACGGTCAGATGAGCAACCAGGGGCCGCCCTAGGGCCCTTGGTGGGGTCCAGGGGGCAGGGCCCCCGGAAGCTCAGGGGTTTTAGGTATTTAATAATGGTCAGATGAGCATCCAGGGGCCCGCCTTATAGGGCCCTTGGTGGGGTCCAGGGGGCAGAGCCCCCGGAAGCTCAGGGGTTTTAGGTATTTAATTACGGTCAGATGAGCATCCAGGGGCCCCCCTTAGAGCCCTTGGTGGGGTCCAGGGGGCAGAGCCCCCGGAAGCTCAGGGGTTTTAGGTATTTAATTACGGTCAGATGAGCATCCAGGGGCCCGCCTTAGGGCCCTTGGTAGGGTCCGGGGGCGGAGCACCCGTAAGCTCTGGGGTTTTAGGCATTTAATTACGTTCAGATGAGCATTTTTTATATCTTATTTGTGACATTGGCAGGTCACTTATTTTTTCTCTCCGTCTTTCTTTCTTTTTCTCTTTAACATACTTTTTCAAAAAGTGAGGGGGGAGGGGCTCGAGCCCAGCCACTTTGCAGACCATGACATAAAGGCTTCTAAATAAGCGTATTTTTCGCCCGACTGTAATTTGGGAATTTCTTATTTTCCAACAAACGCATAAAAAGGTATGACTTTAAAAAAAATGGAGAAAAAATACCGGAAAATCATGTCATAACAGCAACATTTGTAAATCACTGGTATCGTATAGATATACCCCCCCCCCCCCCATCAGTACGCCAGCGTTCAGGGGCTCATGTCTTCTCACCCCTATAACAAAACCAAAAAAACAGACACGTTTTCCCATTCTCGCACAATATGTCCACGATATGCGCGTATCGCTATTATAAACCGTATAGGTAGCATGCGCAATGTTTATAAAATTTAATTCCAGCCTGTGAACTTTCCTTTTCTTTGAATGGAATGGTATATGTGCTTTAATTCAGGTTTTTATTATTGTTATGTTCTTTTGGGTTAAAAATACAAACCATGTTTATTCCTTTACTGCTTTTTTTTTTTTTTTTTGGAGGGGGGGGGGGCGTTTTGGGGGGGCAAAAATGCGTTTTGCCCCCCCACTTTTTTGACTGGGGGGGCAACTGCCCCCCCTGCCCCCCCACTTCCGGCGCCTATGTATGTGGGACTACACACATGACATTGAAAGTTTGGTCTAAACTTTTCAGTAGGCTGAGCTTTTCATATCGCAACAATGAGGGCGTACAACGAGCAATCATTTTCAGGCTCTATTTCTTTTATGGTGTTCTCTCAATTTAATGTAACTTTGAATGATACTTGTTCAACCTGTATACAAGATAATTGATGATCAACAGCATTTCAAATGTTGATGTTTACTCACATGTTTCTTGTCTTCTTTTTCTTTGAATAGATTTCAAGCAGACTTTCTTCCTTTTTGACAAGGATGGTGATGGCAAAATCACAACCAAGGAATTGGGTACTATGATGAAATCACTTGGTGAGAACACTACTGAGGCTGGGCTTAAAGACATGCTCAAAGAAGTGGATGCTGATGGTAAGTTAAAAATAGAGAAATATTTGGCATTATTATAAAAGATGTTTACCCATTCATGATCATGTGAAGCATACTAGCTGTAAAACTGCAAGATCTTTATTATGTTAAGTATAGTATGGACAATAACGGGAGAAAAATGAACGGCAATTAATCTCCCAAAGTGTCATAAACGTGTGGAATGTTACAAATAAAAAAGAAAGGAATGTTGTCTTTGCACTCAATCATGCCATGTGAAATGTCCTTAAAGTGTTTTTTTCTGTAGAATATTTCAAAAAGAGCTGTAAGGAAAGTGACATTCATGTAGTTTTGAGTATGAAACACCCAATTCATAATGATGATCCACTGAAGAAAAAAAAGAATCTTATCAGAAATTCCTCCTACAAAATATTTACTGAACGAATGAAACATTATATTTTTCAAACTTTCACCTGTCGTCCTTGATTGCCTTCATAAATGGACATGGCAAGAGCTCGACCATTGAATGTATTCCCAATGGAAGTAGGTCTGGAAAAATGTATCCTTAGATGGTTGATAATTAAATTGCAATGACATCTGTTGTTTGGCATGAATCCACCATAATAGCATAATTGTGTTCATATTATAGAGCCTTGATAGTCGTTATTGTATCCAGATGATGCTAATTGAAATAATAGACGATTATACATTACTGCATATACATAGACAATTGTAAAGCATGTCCCATAAAGTGTGCTGTTTAGTGTGTACTCTGCAATAAATCAATACCTCGTACCCGCCCCTCCCCCCAATCAGTGATATTTAGGGTACGCATATGCTTGTTCCCTCTTTTTGAAAGCACCCCCTATCTGAGGACTGCCAACATTTCCGAACCCCCCTTTCGCGGGCTTTTCGCGGGCTTTTCGCGGGCTTTTCGCGGGCTTTTCCTGCCTTGGAGACTCCTTTAAATCATGAAAAATGCTCAATGTACCCCCCTAAATTCGGAATAATTTCTCAGGAGTCCAAAGAGATGAGAGAAAAAAGAAAAAACACCCCCTTTTTAAAGAAATCTCCGGGTGAAAAATTAATACACACCTTTTTTTTACAATTCTCGGGCCGGACTTTGTCGCACGAAAAGTACCCCTTTACCGGACATTTTGGTAACACGCATGGGGTCCGTCCGTTCTCGGAGTGGGGGGGGGGGGGGGCGGGACCTCGTATTATTCAGTAAACTGCCAACTGGCAGATCTTGAGTTCTGAATGGGTACTGCACTGCAGGACAAACTGTATCGTTAGTTATACTGTAGGAGGATAAGTTGCAAGTTCTATTCTGATTTTGTTTCCCTTCTCTAATCAATGTGGTTTTGTTCTCTTGTGTTTCATCATCCTCAATGCCCCAACCCTTCCAAACAATTAGTATTGGTTTTGAAATGTGTTTTCTACCATATTAGCCACTCATGTGGCTGCGATATTTTCTTGTTATTTTTAAAAGGCTGGGTTATTTTCATGCTCTTAGCTGGAGCTAAAGAAGCTCTTTTATTATCTATTGATGAATTGCCTTGTAAATGAAACACACAAGTTCTTAGTTCATATCTTTATCTTACGGTAGTAGTCTATATTAGTAATATTTGTCTGTTTTAGTTCATATTTCAACTGGTTCATGCATGAGTAAATTATTTGATTTATTTGCTACTTTCATTATTTCCTTTATGCGTCTGTAGAAAATGGAACGATGGAATGCCAAGAATTCCTCACAATGATGGCAATGAAATTGAAGGAAAATGAGGAAATCACGAATGAATTCCGGAAATTTGACAAGGACGGCAATGGCTTCATCGGGTAATATTTTTGAGGTTGATAGTGAACCTGTCCTTTATTTCCGAGGGCACCAGTTGGCATGATTAAACCCCGGCCCCCCCCCCCCCCCACTCAGAGGTCGGAATGACCGCATGCGTGTTGCCAAAATGTCCGGTAAAGGGGTACTTTTCGTGCGACAAAGTCCGGCCCGAGATATTATTGTAAAAAAAGGGGTGTATTTGACTTTTTACCCGGAGATTTCTTTAAAAAGGGGGTATTTTTCTTTTTTTCTCTCATCTCTTTGGACTCCTGAGAAATTATTCCGAATTTAGGGGGGTACATTGAGTATTTTTCCTGATTAAGGGGGGTCTCCAAGGCAGGAAAAGCCCGCGAAAAGCCCGCGAAAAGCCCGCGAAAGGGGGGTTCGGAAATGATGGCAGTCCTTTTCTTTTTTTCTCTCATCTCTTTGGACTCCTGAGAAATTATTCCGAATTTAGGGGGGTATATTGAGTATTTTTCCTGATTTAGGGGGGTCTCCAAGGCAGGAAAAGCCCGCGAAAAGCCCGCGAAAGGGGGGTTCGGAAATGATGGCAGTCCTCAGATAGGGGGTGCTTTCAAAAAGAGGGTACGAGCATATGCGTACTCTAAATAACACTGAGTGGGGGGGGGCGGGGATTAAACACTGAAGGAGGGCTATTAACATAAATTATTGAGGTGGGACCAACAGCGACAAATTTGTATGCACATTAACAACAGGGGGGTGATTTTTTTTTTTTGGGGGGGGGGGGGTTGGGTTCTCTTAATACCAAATATTTTACTAAAGAATCATTATAGATGTGAAAGTGAAAGGAGAGAAACCAGAACAAATATGATAAGACAGTGAAATATATGGACTACCCATATACTTCTAAGCTGAATTGTTAATGTGTCAAAATATTGTACAGCAAAGTGAACTAAATACCCTTGTTATGCTAAAATGTTGATAATAAAATATGTCACTTAACTTAACAGTGTAATAGTTTACAGTAATGTTCCTACTAACTTAATCTTCACAAGACTGCAAATTTGAGCTCATATTACCTTCCATTGCTAAGATCTTGACATCCTGCCCTCAATCATAACGTAGTTTTACAAGAGCCTATTATATAACAGACCAAAGTTGTTCACAAGGAGTTCAAAAATCGATTTTAAAGCTATTTTTCACGAAGTCTAGATTTGTATTGAATCGTTGTATGGTGCCTTTATAGAATAGAATTTCAACTAAATGATGAATTGTAGTCGTTTGTTTATAGTGTAGCTATGATAGATAGTAGGTTTTTGTTTATAGTGCAGTTATTCACGTGTATAAAGTTGCACCAATCTATTCACACTGCTGTGAAGGGTGTGTTCATTTGTGTGAATCTTTGTAATGTTGCAGTTAGAGAGAAGCATTATTTTGATCTTCCATAAAGAGACGAACATTGATTTACATGACTAATGTTCTTCCCTCCACATATAGGCTCCTTAATCCCCAAATGTATCACCACATAAAGGCCCTTTATTATTTAGCTGAAATCATTTTCATCTTCCATTTTAAATTATACTTATTCATTTTTCTTTCATTTTACAGTGCTGCAGAACTGAAAACCGTGATGAAGAGTTTTGGAGTGCCGCTGACAGACAAAGAGGTCGCTAAAATATTCAAGGAAGCAGATAAAAATGGCGATGGGAAAGTCAATTATGAAGGTAAGCTTTTATATAGAAATATACTTATTAGGGAATGAAAAGTGTTTGTGAAAGGTGAATGTAGATTTTTTTTTTTTAATATGAGAAAAGAGTTTTTGAGAAAGATAGAACTATCTGACCAAAATGTTTTCTTCCTGTAGTCAACTGGTTGATATATGCAATTATGTATTAAAGCCCAAGTCCACTCCAAAAATAACTTACTTTCAATAGAAGCAGAAAAATCAGACTAACCAATCAAAAAAAGTCTGAGCAAAATCGGATAACTAATAAGAATGTTATGAATTTTTAATGACATTAAAAACTTTGAAAATCACTAGACAAAATTATTGGCGACTCACTCATGAGTCTGTGACGTCATGTCCTCACTATCCACTAATTATTTTCTTTATATTGATGATATAAATTTCCTATTTTCTCCTGAAGATTCTTATTTCTTCACACCAGCATCCAAGTTAGATTGATAGTAATATGTTTTTGTGTGGATGCACTAATATAGAGTAATTTTTTCCAGTTAAATCATGAAAAATGTGAATTTTGATAAACTATTTAAAATAAAAATCAATACCTATGAATATACAATATTCAGAAAATAGTATAAATTCTTCAAAGTTCATAAAGGATTTTGTGAAATGTCATGTACGCAATATGATACAAATCATATAACCTGGGCAAAGGCATGGGGAAATCAAGTTTTGGGGAATAAAAAGGGAAATTAATGGGATTAAACCATAGAGAGCAATTGATAAATAGTGAGGACATGACGTCACAAACTGATAACCATCTTGGCAATTTGTGTTGTGATTCTCATTGTTCCATAGCTTTACATACTTTTTCAAAACACTGTTGCCATTTGGTCTAGTTCTGAAGTAAGTTAGATTATTATTCAGTCAAGTGATTTTGCAATTAAACAATTGCCGTACAAGGGCAGAGGTGTTAAGTTATATTGCATTTGTATTTATTCATCCACAATACCTTATAGGTTTAGAGCCCTTCAAATAACCTTTCAGCTGTAAGCAATCTATCTGATCTCTTATTTTATTTCTTTGCAGAATACAAAAAATGGATGGCGACCTCATAAAAAGAATTGGCGACATAACTCTCTTCGGAAAACTGAGTGATCAAGAGGGTGCGGTGCAAGTGCAGGTGCAGTGAGCAGTTGCATGATAAAGACTAAAATAAGTCACGGTTTTGTTATACTAATTTAAAGAGAGGGGAGCATATGATTGTATTATTTGTCGTTTAAGTGTAGCTTTTAAGGAGTAGATAGTTGAACAAGACTTTATGTTGTCGGGAAAATTATTCCAAATGTTCGGGCCAGAATGTCTAACAGATTTGTGTGTTATTGATAATTTGGGGTTTGTAAGATGGAAGTTTCCAGATATACGAGTAGAGTATGAATGAACGGAACTATAAAAATTAAACCTAAACATGTTATCAAAGGATTGTGAAAGCAGATTATTAATGTATTTAAACATAATAAATGCTACTTGAGTAGTGTTCAGATCGATTTTTTTTAGTGTTTTAAGTTTATAGAATAAAGGATCAGTGTGAGCTAAGAAATGCGAACCTGTACAAATACGTATGGCTTTCTTTTGCAGTTTAAAAATAGTATTAATTTTTGTCGAACCACAATTTGCCCATACACTATTACAATATGTTATATACAGGAGAACTAGCGAATTATATAGTAGGAATAAGGTTGCATGGGGTAGAATAAACTTTAGCTTGGAGATTATTCCAATACTTTTGGAAATGCACATTGTAACTTGGTGTAAATGATCATTCCAAGTTAAGGTTTCATCAATAAGAACTCCCCAAAACTTTTCTTCTCTAGTAGCATACCATCGATTTTAGATGTTTCTGTATTATGAGAATGATGTTTAAAATACATGAAATGAGTCTTTTTTGTATTAAGTGAAAGTTTATTGGATTTAAATCCAATAGTTCTGCAGTTTTGTTACCAATTTTCAAATATAACAAATGTATTATTATGCAGGAACATGTATAATTAGAGGCAGCTCAACAACGCTAATCATATACTATTGACATGTTAAATCTTGTGTTTTTGTTGTCATTTATGATTTGATTGTATTTGTGTTCTCACTGTATGAATGCAGTTCTTTAATTACAGCCAGGCAATTCACCAAACCCCCTTTTTTTGGGGGGGGGGCAAATTTTACTGGCAATTATAGCCGTCCTCCTGTCCCTGTGTGCTTATTCTGTATGGGAATGTATCAATAATGGATTTGATTCTCCCTCTCTTGACTTATGCCAGTTCCCTCTCTTTCTTCTTTGGGGGATGTAGGAGGGTGTTCCCACCCCTTCTCTCAACTGATGTTACAGTGAATTCATGTCGTACTATGAACTGCATTTTACAATGTGAACATGTGTGCGTGCGTGTGTTTTTGAGAGTAAGTTGTGAGAAGCAGAATTGGTGAGAACGCGAATGATAGGGAGACGGAGAGAAAGAGAAAGAATTTTGTTTACGAAATTCATGTACAGTTGTACATGTACGTAAATGTGTGTAAATGTTGAATTATTTCTTATGGGTGGAGGCCAAAATTTGAAATCAATTTGAAATTTAGTGTGCTGAAATTTGAAAATCGTGCCGGTCAATATTTCGCTCAGTGGGGGGGGGGGGGGGGGTGTTACACCCACAAATGTAATAACGCCCACAAATGTAATAACACTTTACCCACAAATGTAATAACACCCACAAATGTAATAACACTTTACCCACAAATGTAATAATTTCACCCACAAATGTAATAATTTTGAATCAACCACAAATGGGGGTGTTACACCCATAAATGTAATAACGCCCACAAATGTAATAACACTTTACCCACAAATGTAATAACACCTACAAATGTAATAACACTTTACCCACAAATGTAATAATTTCGAATCACCCACAAATGTAATAATGACTTTACCCACAAATGTAATAAATTTGAAGTGATATTTTGTCGAATTTGTTCAAAACTAAAACCCTGTAATAAAGCATGGGTATAGCGCAGTCTTTACTCCAGACCCGGTTATTTCAAAAAATTAAAAAATCTTCAAATCTAAGACCCCATAATCCTTTTTTCTGTGGAATAACATGAGAATCGAGCGTAGTCTTTCCTCCAGACACGGTTTATTCAAAAGTTAAAAAAAACAAACAAAACAAAACAAAACAAAACAAAGAAAAAAATCTTTTAAACTAAGACCCCACCATCTTCCAAACTAAGACCCGGTAATAAAGCATGGGGTTAGAGCGTAGTTTTTCTTCCAGACCCGGTTATTCAAAAGTTAAAAAAAACAAAAAAACAAAACAAAACAAAACAAAGAAAAAATCTTTTAAACTAAGACCCCTCCATCTTCCAAATGAAGACCCGGTAATCATTTCAGACTTGTTCTTGTTTATATAGCTGCTTGAGTGTTTCAGAAGTAGGGAAAACTGTAATATAAATGTGTTTTGCTTGTATTTGCCTTTGAATTTGGGGTCCAGGGGGCGGAGCCCCAGGAAGCTCAGGGGTTTTGGGCAACAAATAACGGTCAGATGAGCATATTTTGATACCTTATTTGTGACACTGGCAGGACACACATTGGTGTTGGGTCCATAGGGCGGAGCCCCCAGAAGCTCAGGGGTTTTATACATTAATTAATCGTCAGATGAGCATATTTTATACCTTATTTTGTGACACTGGCAGGTCTCGAATTGGCGTGGGTCCAGGGGGCGGAGCCCCCGGAAGCTCAGGGGTTTTGGGCAATAAAATACTGGCAGATGAGCATATTTTGATACCTTATTTGCGACACTGGCAGGACACAATTTGGTGTTGGGTCCAAGGGGCGAAGCCCTCAGAAGCTCAAAGGTTCATACATCAATTTATCGTCAGATGAGCATAATTTTTGTGACCCTGACAGATCACTAATTGGCGTGGGGTCCAGGGGGCAGAGGCCCCGGAAGCTAAGGGGTTTTGGGCAATAGATTACGGTCAGATGAGCATCCAGGGGCCCGCCTTAGGGCCATTGGTTGGGTTCGGGGGGGGGCAGAGCCCCGGAAGCTCAGGGCTTTAGGCATTTAATTACGTCAGATGAGCATAATTATATACCTTATTTGTGACACTGGCAGGTAACTAATTCGCGTGGGTCCAGGGGGCAAAGCCCCCAGAAGCTCAGGGTTTTAGGAATTTTATAACGGTCAGACAAGCATGCAGGGGCCCGCCTTAGGGCCCCTGGTGGGGTCGAGGCGTGGAGCCCCGGAAACTTATGGGTTTTAGGCATTAAATTACGGTCAGATGAACATATTTTGATACCTTATTTGTGACACTGGCAGGACACAAATTGGTGTTGGGTCCATAAGGCGGAGCCCCCAGAAGCTCAGGGTATTAAGCATTAAATTACCGTCAGATTAGCATCCAGCCGTCTGCCTTAGGGCCCTAGGTGGGGCCCAGGGGGCAGAGCCACCGGAAGTCAAGGGTTTTAAGCATTTAATTACGGTCAGATGAGCATATTTTGATACCTGTGAAGGGAGGAAAACTGAATTCAGATAAGGATTAAGAGTCAACAACGGTACATCGAATCGTATTCTTTCTATAATAATTATTCAATTAAACGTCAAAGCTTCCGCGCTTCGCGCGGGAGGGGGGGGGGAACTGAATTCAGTCAAGAATAAGGGGGGGGGGGGTAAGCGGACACTTTTTTTTGGGGGGTCTCGAAATTTGAAAAATTGACATTTTGTTCCGTTGGGGGGGAGGGTTCACAAGAAACATACACAAAACATACACATAAAAAAACCTCAAGGGGGGATTTAACCCCCCCCCCCCCCTGCGTACGCGCCTGGCTATGATGCTGACTATGTTGACGAAATAATTCGTATATTTTAAGTCGTCGAGGAAAATGACCATTTGCGCATACGCAAGTACTATAGATAGTTTATAGGAAAAACAATTTAGCCTTCGGCCCCGGGTTAAATTTGTAGATATTGGGACATTTAATTTTGTCGGTAATTGGTGGCTACTTTTGTCGGTAATCGTTGGCCTCTACACCCCCCCCCCCCCTCCTTCACTGAAAAAGGTCTAGCGACGCCTCTAGTCTTTGGACATAGTTCTAGAACTCGTACGTCATCTTTTATTTTTAGGGGCTCCACTGGTTACCACAGTCTATACACCGTAACGTGTTCTGTTTTAAAAAGTCTGTTTGTATGCTTTCAAAATACTCAATCACTTTGGCACCTGAATATCTTAATGACGCCCTCCAAATATATACACCTTCTCATAATCTCCGCTCAACAACAAAAACTTGGAACCATAGGCCCCAGTCAAAAAAGTAGGGGGGGGCAAAACGCATTTTTGCCGCCCCAAAACGCCCCCCCCCCCTCCAAAAAAAAAAAAAAAAAAACAGTAAAGGAGTAAACATGGTTTGTATTTTTAATCCAAAAGAACGTAACAATAATAAAAACCTGAATTAAATCACATATACAATTCCATTCAAAGAAAAAGGAAAGTTCACAGGAATTAAATTTCATAAACATTGCGCATGCCACCTATACGGTATTTATCAATGGAGGTCTCTATAATAGCGATATGCACATATCGTGGACATAGTGTGCGAGAATGGGAAAGCGTGTCCGTTTTTTTGTTATAGGGGTGAGAAGATATGAGCCCCTGAACGCTGGCGTACTGATGGGAGGGATGATGTATTTCTTATTCGAAACAAGAGATTTACAAATGTTGATGTTGTGACATGATTTTCCGGGATTTTTTCTCCATTTTTTTGTAAGTCATACCTTTTTATGCGTTTGTTGGAAAATAAGAAATTCCCAAATTACAGTCAGGCGAAATACGCTTATTTAGAAGCCTTTATATCATGGTCTGCAAAGTGTGTTGGACATGAGCCCCTGAACGCTGGCGTACTGATGGGGGGGGGGGTGATGTATTTCTTATTCGAAACAAGAGATTTACAAATGTTGGTGTTGCGACATGATTTTCCGGGATTTTTTCTCCATTTTTTTGTAAGTCATTCCTTCGTACGCGTTTGTTGGAAAATAAGAAATTCCCAAATTACAGTCAGGCGAAATACGCTTATTTAGAAGCCTTTATATCATGGTCTGCAAAGTGGCTGGGCTCGAGCCCCCCCCCCCCCCCCTCTTTTTTGAAAAATTATGTTAAAGAGAAAAAGAAAGAAAGACGGAGAAAAAAATAAGTGACCTGCCAATGTCACAAATAAGGTATAAAAAATGCTCATCTGACCGTAATTAAATGCTTAAAACCCCAGAGCTTACGGGGGCTCCACCCCCAGGCCCCACCAAGGGACCTAAGGTGGGCCCCTGAATGCTCATCTAACCGTAAATCAAATACCTAAAACCCCTGAGCTTCCAGGGGCTCTGCCCCCTGGACCCCAACAAGGGCTCTAAGGCGGGCCCATGGATGCTCATCTGACCGTAGTTAATACCTAAAACCCCTGAGCTTCCGGGGCTCTGCCCCCTGGACCCCACCAAGGACCTTAAGGCGGGCCCCTGGATGCTCATCTGACCGTAATACCTAAAACCCCTGAGCTTCCGGGGCTTTGCCCCCTGGACCCCACCAAGGGCCCTAACGCGGCCCTCTGGATGCCCATCTGACCTTAATTAAATACCTAAAACCCCTGAGCTTCCGGGGCTCTGCCCCCTGGACCCCACCAAGGGCCCTAAGGCGGGCCCCTGGATGCTCATCTGACCATAATTAAATACCTAAAACCCCTGAGCTTTCGGGGCTCTGCCCCCTGGACCACACCAAGGGCCCTAAGACGACCCCTGGATGCTCATCTAACCGTAATTAAATACCTAAAAGTAAAACCCCTGAGCTTCCAGGGGCTCTACCCCCTGGACCCCAACAAGGGCTCTAAGGCGGGCCCCTGGATGCTCATCTGACCGTAATTAATACCTAAAACCCCTGAGCTTCCGGGGCTCTGCCCCCTGGACCCCACCAAGGGCCCTAAGGCGGGCCCCTGGATGCTCATCTGACCATAATTAAATACCTAAAACCCCTGAGCTTTCGGGGCTCTGCCCCCTGGACCACACCAAGGGCCCTAAGGCGGGCCCTTGGATGCTCATCTAACCGTAAATTAAATACCTAAAACCCCTGAGCTTCCAGGGGCTCTACCCCCTGGACCCCAACAAGGGCTCTAAGGCGGGCCCCTGGATGCTCATCTGACCGTAATTAATACCTAAAACCCCTGAGCTTCCGGGGCTCTGCCCCCTGGACCCCACCAAGGACCTTAAGGCGGGCCACTGGATGCTCATCTGACCGTAATACCTAAAACCCCTGAGCTTCCGGGGCTTTGCCCCCTGGACCCCACCAAGGGCCCTAACGCGGCCCCCTGGATGCCCATCTGACCTTAATTAAATACCTAAAACCCCTGAGCTTCCGGGGCTCTGCCCCCTGGACCCCACCAAGGGCCCTAAGGCGGGCCCCTGGATGCTCATCTGACCATAATTAAATACCTAAAACCCCTGAGCTTTCGGGGCTCTGCCCCCTGGACCACACCAAGGGCCCTAAGACGACCCCTGGATGCTCATCTAACCGTAATTAAATACCTAAAACCCCTGAGCTTCAAGGGGCTCTACCCCCTGGACCCCAACAAGGGCTCTAAGGCGGGCCCCTGGATGCTCATATGACCGTAATTAATACCTAAAACCCCTGAGCTTCCGGGGCTCTGCCCCCTGGACCCCACCAAGGGCCCTAAGGCGGGCCCCTGGATGCTCATCTGACCATAATTAAATACCTAAAACCCCTGAGCTTTCGGGGCTCTGCCCCCTGGACCACACCAAGGGCCCTAAGACGACCCCTGGATGCTCATCTAACCGTAATTAAATACCTAAAACCCCTGAGCTTCCAGGGGCTCTACCCCCTGGACCCCAACAAGGGCTCTAAGGCGGGCCCCTGGATGCTCATCTGACCGTAATTAATACCTAAAACCCCTGAGCTTTCGGGGCTCTGCCCCCTGGACCCCACCAAGGGCCTTAAGGCGGGCCCTTGGATGCTCATCTTACCGTAATTAAATACCTAAAACCCCTGAGCTTCCAGGGGCTCTGCCCCCTGGACCCCACCAAGGGCCCTAAGGCGGGCCCTTGGATGCTCATCTGACCGTAATTAAATACCTAAAACCCCTGAGCCTCCGGGGGCTCTGCCCCCTGGACCCCACCAAGGGCCCTAAGGCGGGCCCCTGGATGCTCATCTGACCGTAATTAAATACCTAAAACCCCTGAGCTTCCGGGGGCTCTGCCCCCTGGACCACACCAAGGGCCATTAGACGACCCCTGGATGCTCATCTAACCGTAGTTAAATAACTAAAACCCCTGAGCTTCTGGGGGCTCAGCCCCTTGACCCCCTGCCGAGGCTCATGCCCTGGACCCCACCCCAATTTACGCTTTACCTGATCGATAATACTCCACTTTGAAAAACGTTCCGCAGGACCTGAATGTAACGTGTAAGACTGGTGGTGATGCAGATTTTTCGTCTGCCCCCCCCCCCCTTCCGAACTTTTTTCTTCTCATTACGTCACTGCCCCTGGAATGCTTGCCCCCCCCCCCCCCCATCCCAAACTGCTTCCGGCGCGCCTGCTTGGAACAACATCCCCTCCATTTTAAGGAAAATTACCTGTCTTGCCCCGGGTCTTCCCACCTTCAAAAGATCCCTTAAAATTTACCCTTTTCCTCAGTATGTGAATTACTTCCTGTAAGACTGTACATTTTTGTCCTCTTTTCATATATTTGTATTAATTTTGTAAGCGCTATGGTACCTATTGTTTTTAGTGCTCCAAAATATTTTATAAGTTATTATTAATATCAATCTCATTGTTGCCACTAAAATACCAGATTGATTCCAAGGTCGGATTGGAGAGGCTATAGCTCATACCGAGCCGAGAGAACCGCTTTGATGAACTTTCGTGGAAACTTACATAGTGACTGTGACCTGATTTATTTTTATTTTACATGAAATAAGCGTAAGCCTATTTAAGTGAGACTTGACGGTTTTAAAAAAAATCATGATCTGCTTATTTGTTGAGACCCCTTTCTTCTTCAAAATCGTGAATTGAGTTTCGGCCATCATGTTATTTTGCAACAATTTGCTAAAATACAATGAATAGAAATTAAAAGTGTTGAAAAGATTCTAAAAATTCATTTGTAATTGCATCTTTATGCATACCATACACAACGCGCGCGCCCCCATTGTTACTTGTTGGTTAACTTGTCGAAATTGAGTCGACGTGCTTGGAAATTATCCTTCTGGAATTTTGTACGTTTATCCTGTATGATTTACCAAAATGCCTCCTAAAAAAGCAGCAGCAGGACCTAGTAAGAAAAATGTAGAGAAGAAGAAGGACAAAGTAATAGAGGCAAGTTCAGTTTTAGAATGGGGATTTTTATTCTTTCTTTTTTTTGGTAACGTGCGTGGTTATCGCGCACTTCATTCATTTTCGTCCATCAATGTTCATTCATTCATTTCACCGGCAACGTCAGAATTATGTGAAGGCGAGTAGGCCTATTGGTTATTGCGCCATACTTTGTCAGAATTTATATTGACGATGCACTACAGGGAAGGAATTAATTTTAATAGCTCTCGTACATTCGATTAATTTGTAGGTTCTAGATTCTAGATCTAGATCTACTTGTAGATCTAAAGTTGTAGATGGAGAATATTTTCATCCAAATGTTCACTTTCACAGTTTCAGAAGAATGTCTCGACATCTGGGCAGCGTCTCACGAAACCATCATAAACCTTAAAGGGATTGGATCGCCAGTTTCCATGTGCAGAAGGCCATAATTCGCTGACACCAGACTTGGTGGAAATACCATTAATGGGGGTACAAATTTGCACACAGCAAACCCATAGTCCAGTCAAGAATTACCCCCTAATCTCTCGGAGAGCTCAAGAGTCTTCGGGCAAATCAAAGCATTACACAAGGTCCAATGGTCATAAAACTCGAGGCTAACCCTGGTGATTGACAACACCTGTTATTGGGTAAACACCCGAACGGTGTCGAATTCCCCATGAGAGCTGACTACTCAGTGACTTTAAGTCAAAGACATATGGTTGGGTGACCAAAGTTCGACCAAAGCACATTGGCAATGCAAAAAACAGATTCTGTGATGATTTTCTTGATGCATTTTACATCGACTTTGTACAGAGACCTTCACATTATGAGCAATAAATCCTTGGGAAGACGGACAACCTAAAAAGTAGACAGTGAACTTGGGTTATTTTCCCCTGGGGAACCCATTTTTTGCATCGCCAGCGGGCCGTTTGGTAACCTGAAACCTGCAGAGTGCCGATGAAAAAAAACGTCCGCGAAAATGCAGACGATCCTCATTTTTTAGGACGCATTTTGTCTGCATTATGAGGACGATCCTCATTTTCGGACCAGCGCTCCTACTGGTGATGTGGGAACGAGACAACAAAATCTTTGAGCACCGTCGACAACAGGTCAAAATGCGACCTAAAAATGCGATAACAAATTGTGTTTTTTTTTATGTGAAAATCAGTTTATTAGAGGGATTGAAATTGAAAAAAAATTCCAATTTCTTACGCAAAAAAAAAGTAAACCTGCGCGCCTGCTTCCACTGCACCGTAGGTCTATCTGTGTTTGTGAATTTCAATGAATCTAGATCTATGGGTTTCGTAAGAATACAAAATAATTTAAAAGGGGAAAGTGGAGAGACAAAGACAGAAAAGAGCGAGAGCTCGTGTATGGCCGTCATGTCATATATAAAGGAGACACATGATAAACTTTTTAAACAAACAAATGGCATGCAGATAGGGAATTCTTCTTGGCTTGGCTTCCTCCAGTTTGGAGAACTGCAGTTAGTGCAGGTGTTGGTAGTACACATATAAAAAGGATAGGCAGGTTTACAGTGGCATCACATACATCATGTAGTGGAACGTTTAACGTGGAGGTCAAGTATGACAGTCTACAGAGAGAGATTGTGAATGAGTGAGGGGTTGATCCAGTCGGAAAGGGAGGTGTGAGAGCAGGAGCCAAGTAGCGATTGCTTTGTAAAGCATTCACCCTTCGTTTTCTTTTCGAGTTGGAATAATGGCTCTCCCATCGTCTTGGCCAGTGAGCTATGAAGTTGTCTCTGAGAGTAGTGTAGAGAGGGCACTCACATACCGTGTGGATGATTGTCTCAGTAGTTTCTCCACAGGCGCAGCAGAAGGATTTTTCCTAAACAATGAAAAATATTGTCTTATATTTGCAAAATTTAACAAGGGTATTTTTTTTGGGAAAATTTCAATGAAAAAGAGAAATTATTATCTTTTTCAAAGTTTCAATATAAAAATCGGCTTCTTATTGAAACTATGTCCCTTTTTGGAATGTTTACATATATAAAGCCCATCACAAGAGGGCAGTAAATATCATGCGCGAACTTAGGTCACACTTTTTGACAGACGTCGATAGTGGTAAGCCTTCCGATATTCTCGTCTTATCATTGGTTTGAAGTAAATACAGCCTTGGAATGTTATATAATCTGATTATATGATAAATTACGATTCTTATGACGTATGGAACACGATGTTGATCTGGATGTTTTGTAATGTGCAAGAAAAGAAAAATATCCGCGAACTTTGGTCACCCCTTCATACATGTACTGCATTAAAAGTACAAGTTCACCGACATCCCATAGACAAGCCTTTCAACGGGATGTCGGTGAACTTGTAGTAGTACTGAGTAAAGATCTATGACTGTTACATGAAACACTGCCCTGGCCTAGCCTTATGGTAATGTTTTTATGTCTGATATTGATACCACCAAGCCTTAAACAGCTCCCATACAAGCGTGCAGAGAGCCATGTAAACAAACCCTAAAATGTGTCCAAAATCACACCTTCCCGCACCCGACGAATATTGGACAGTGGCCTCGATGAATTTTATGCCACTTCTACTCCTAATTACCTCCGGATATTCAAAATCAGAGGTAAAACTAACGAAATAATAGCAAATATCTTTCCAGAGCGATACAGCTTAGTTCCCTTTTCACGTGTAGCGTGTGACTTTACGATCTCTACACAATGGTGTTGACCTCTGACTGGCACTTCCGTATAATGCGCTGTATGAGTGTTATTCAGCGCATTATACGTTAGTGGTGTCAATGCTCGAATGGAAAACGTCATTGCTTACATTCAGTTTGAACATGTAAAAATATGAACAAAGGATTTGATTGTTAAAATTTTGTTTTGTTTCTTTTTTCTCGTAGGATAAGACTTTTGGTTTGAAGAATAAAAAAGGAAATAAACAGCAGAGGTTCATCAACACTGTCACTGCTCAAGTCAAGTTTGGAAACCAGAAAGATCAGAAAAAGGTATGAGAATTATTTGTTAGCATTAATATTATGATAAATGTATCAGTAAATGATGGCTTAATATTTGACATATAAGAAAACATGAGGGGAAATTAGTCCTTAGAGTAGGTACAGGGGCCAATGAAGATATATGTACAGTTCAGAAAGCAGCATTGATTGATGATTATATTCTTATCTCGCTTTTATATTCTCTCACTTTGACTCTACATACTATTTCTCTTCTATTTTCCCCTTTAGATATCATTTTAGCTTACCATTTTGAATTTCATGTTTATGTATTATAACTATTATTGCTTTAAACAATTATTCTGTTATATATGCAGGCCTTCTGTTTTATTATAAAAATTAGTAATAGTAATTTGTTTAGCGATAACATTTTAGATCCTGAGAGATTTGTTTATGTGGATCTGATGTTGCCAAATAAGAAATTCCGCATTTATTTTCATATGTTCTTATTCAAGGCTGCTGAACTAGGGCAGAAAATTGCCAAGAAAGATGCAAAGAAAAAGGAAGCAGAGGAGCTCAACATGCTCTTCAGACCAGTCATGGAAGCTCAGAAGCTAGCAAAAGGTAGTATAGACAAATTCGGTTTCCATGATTTCCAGGAGCACCATAGTGCTTCGTCCACCATAGCCTGGGGCCATCCAAGAACATAACAAAAGATGATTCAATATCTTTTGTAATCAGACAGGTCCCTGAACCAAAGTGGGAATGTTTAAACTATTATTTAGCATAGTCTTTAGCATAGTCTTTAGCATAGTCTTTAGCATAGTCTTTAGCATGGTCTTTGTGGCCCCCAGTTAAGGTGGCTGACGTTTCCATGTTCAGCGGGTACGAATCGGTGCATAGAGATCAGGGTATGGGACCAGGCTAACTTGATACAAGGGCTTACTCAGCACTAATTTGACCACAAAATGTCCATAAATTTAATCTTTTATTGAATGTCACTGCATAAATTGTCCAAGTTACTCCATATAGTTACTGTTTTACATATCCTCATCAAACAATCGTGAATTTGTGTCTTGAAAACAACATGCATAATGCAAACATTAATGCAAGTATTTGTGATCAACTCAGCTCTCTTAGACAACTCAGCCATGGTTTCTGCCAAGTCCGGGTTGGCCTTGTGCCGACCTAGCACAGATCCCCTGCCCCTCCCCTCATCACATAGTCCTAGATCCACCCCTGTTAAAAGGATAAAGCTGTGGAAATGATCATAGTGTCTAGTTTATTTTTAAACTATACTTAAATTCAGGTATAAACTCATGACCAACTATGAACACACAGGCTTTGATATGACGTGATGCGAGCGGTAAACTCTAGTTTGCTGCATGTACTAACATGGTCATATGTTACAAATAATATGTAATTTGAAGGTACATTAGATAGATGTATTTTATTGTCGATTGTAACCCCATTGGTGTAAAGATGGTGGAAGTGGATGTCTAGGAGGTAATCATCAAGATCAAAAGTTAATAGTTAGCTGGTTGAATTGGTTATTGAACAGTTAAATGTGGAGAGCTTTCATACAGCTTACAAATTTTCCCTGCTCAAATGCTGATGAGATTTATGAGCATGTATGGATAGACTACAAATTCAACATCAGATTATACATGCCCAGAAAGAAATGGATTGCATATGTTGGATCATGCTATTGATATATGATATTATATTATTATCCTGAGCAAAGAAATGAACTTAGACAGTCAAGACACTCCTGTATGTAATCAGTTATCAGTTTGGATTAGATTCTTTGTAATAATAAGTCCTTACATGTACATGTAGGTGTATAGATTTTTTTATATAAGGAAGCATACATGTGATTTAATCCACTTTGTTTATCAATGGATGTTTTGCATTTCCAGGAGTTGACCCCAAGTCTGTATTGTGCGCCTTCTTCAAGCAAGGGTCGTGTTCCAAAGGAGACCGGTGTAAATTCTCTCATGATCTCAACATAGAGCGTAAGGCAGAGAAACGTAGCGTGTATGGTGATGGAAAAGAGGAGGAACTAGCCAATGGTAAGTTTACCTCTTCTCACTTGTGGAAATTAGTATAGGTAAATGTTTATAGAACTACACAGAATAATAATGATGATGATTAATGATTGTTTTACCTGACTGCTAAGAAAGCATGTTCATGCTTGTTAGTAAGCAACCAGAGGACCAACGGCTTTAAATCTTCTATGATGGACTTGGGAATGAGGATTAATGCCTTACTAAAGGGCATGAGCGCATTGACTTTGTTTTGAATCCGGGGTCTCCCGGTTACAAGACCACTGTTGTACCACCGAGCCATTGCGCCTCCTCTAATAATGATATAGCAAAAGGGATGTACAGATGATAAAAGAATCTTGTGTAAAGGAACGCTGTTCATAGAATCTTGTTCTGGGAAGTTGTTTAAAGCTAAAAACCAGCTATGGTCACGCGATTGCATTGTGAAAGAAACGTTGTGGAATGGATCAGAAAAGGTTGATCATCTGCAAGGTTCTGGAATCATCAAAATGATAAGAAATTTGACCCAGTCTTCGTAAAGTTACAAGCACTGTACACAGAAAGATGTATATGGGACTATACGCACATGTGCGCGACACGTGCGTTTATCTCTCACAGACCATGTAGATAAACTAATTTACCAAATATATCAATGGGTAGGCGGTTTCCCGGCAAAAAATTGTTATCATGTATTAGTCAAAACATATTCTTTCACATAAATGGTAATAAGAGCTTCCATTTCATTTCTTGAAATTGGGGCATTTCCAATACTGGTCTTTACCTTTAAAAGACATTGTGTTTTGATCAGCTCCCACTGTATGTATCGTCAAGTGTACAAAATTCCAGCTGACTAGTCTTTGTTCAACTTTAATAATATATATCTGTAAAGCGCGTTGAGAGGGCCTGCGGTCCTGAAAAGCGCTATATAAGAATGAGCTATTATTATTATTAACTTTAATGTGTCCTCTACTCAAAGTGCCTCTCTCAGTTTTAATACTGTTATCGTGTGATGTGATGATCACACTGTATAGGGACACTGATTTTCCGTTTAAAAAAAAGGCCTTTTCCGTTTCAGAAAATCTGGAATTCCGTTTCAGATGGGCTGAAAAATGGAAATTCCGTTTTGCCATAGACTTTGTACACATGAAAAAACTAAAATTCTGTTTACATAAGATTTTCATTAAAACATGAACTTGTAGGGTACAAAGTTTCTATTAAAGCCGCCATCTTTGACAAGCCACTGATAACCACTCAAAAACATACGGACGGGACTGGATAAACTTGATGCAAAATACTAGTGAAAATATAGACCCCTAGGGTCTAGGCTAGACCTACGAAAAATTATCAAATGTTTATGATTTACCAACTTCAAATTCGAATATAGACAAGCAGACTAAAGTTAGCGGAATGTGTCAGAACACTACATATTCCTGACGGAATGATACAGTAGTACCGACATCGACGAAAACATTTCAGTCTGGGCTGTCATGTCAGCGATCCGCGATCGATCGATTTTAGGCGCACATGCCAGCCCCTTTTTCGAACTGTACAATAGCGTGTGTACAATATCGCTGCACTAAGCGCCCGCTGCTGGCGTGTGTGTGCCTAGTATTACATCTACGTAATAGCGCCCCTAACGATCTTTATTGGTCCAGTGAAACAAAATGGCAGCGCCCTGTCTCCTAAGAATCTGACGAATATCGCTAAATATTCGTAATTATTAACCATGATTTTAGGCCCGATATTTTTTCACTGTATAACGAGTCACAAAAATGGTGTAAGTGTTACGATTTTCTTCTTGAAAAATGAAAAATTTTGAGGTAAAAGGGGTTTTCCACGATTTTAAGTTCGAAATTGCATTTTCCGTTTCCGTCATTTCTGTGAATTCCATCCATTTTCCGTGATCTCGGAAAATCAGTGTCCCTACACACAGGCAATGTACCCCTGATAGTCGAGGTATCATGTGTTCTAGTTGTGTGTCCATCGCGTTGACACAGTTTGTCAACCATGATTAGAGTGTTATAATTCAAAGGTGGTGTCGGTAGGTTCGCCCATCTTTATAATCAGAAGAGATATTCACTGGCAGTCATCAGTTCCAATGTAGTTCGCCAAGGTCATATTAATGTCTGACGAAAAGCTTCAGAATGTCTGTTTTCATTGCTATTCTCCAATTGTCTTTACCTCTATATTTTGTTGCCCTATTCTCAACAACAGCAATGTTTTTCTTTGCTCCTTCACAGACACCATGGATAACTGGGATGACGAGAAATTAATGGAAGTAGTCAGCAAGAAACATGGAGATGCTAATGAGAGCAAAACCAAAACAGAGATTGTAAGTTACAGAATCCTTCAAGTTTTTATACCAGTTCAAGGCACGATCCTAACTAAATGAAGGCAGAGGCATATTGGAGACGCGGTTGCATTTATTCTTTTGTTTGGGAGGGGAGCTATATTACTGGCAATCTCCTGACTTTCTTTTCACATTAATTATATTGAATTACTTTACTTTTTAGATTGATATTGAAAATTACATGAATTGCGATTATTATTTGAAGTGTACATGTACTTTCTTACCATCTGCTTACTTAGCACCTGCTTGTGCCCTTTGATTCATTGTGTAAAGCTTTTGAATAATTAATTCAAGCAATCGGCGATCATGGTCTAGATGTATACATGTAGCCCTTTATATTTCTTATAGTGCCACAGATAGTTAACATATATTGGATTGAAAAGGACCGTTTGCTATTATCCTGTGTCAGACAGGGACCAGTTCTGAAATATGGGGAAGGGGTGAAAGGTCAAATAAAGATTAGGAAAACATTTAAAAAGTGGTACCAACTGTATTTCAAATAATTCACTTATCTTTCATGAAATAGTTTCCAGTTTTGACAAGAACTATTGATATATTTTAATGAAAGAGAGCTTAAAACTTGTAAAAGTCATGGAATTCCTGACTGACCTAAAGGTTTATAATTCTGATTGCAGCATGAGCTAAATCCAGGATTTTGTTTCAGAATCTGAGGAGTGTGTGTGTGTGTGTAATTGGGTTTATGCAGACATGTATCAATCAGATATGATTATTTGCATCTGGGGACCGACCTTTAACGTCACCATCCGAAAGACGATATGTTACCGAGTCACTTTAAGGAGAGTTTCAGGTATACAGTAGGCTTGCGGGTGCACCATGTGAGAGAGGGTTGAGGAGTCCTGGAAAGGACTCTGACTCTGTAATCTTTCTTGGGGGTGTGTAGTCCTGAAAAGGACTGTTTGTTATCTTTCTTAGCTTAGAGTTCTAAGGAGAACTATAGCGCTTGGAGAGGATGAGTGGCTCGACGTTTCGAACAAGTTGACTATCCGTCGTCAGGAGTGGAGAATAGCTGGCATGCGTGACCTTAAGTCACCGGGGTGTGGACATCGGGTAGTATACTATTTTCACGAGTCGGATCCTTGTTTATATTTTTGTGTAACTTCCTTTTTCCTGTTACAGGTTTGCCGATTCTTCATTCAAGCATTGGAGAATATGAAGTATGGATGGTTCTGGTCTTGCCCAAACGGTGAGAAATGTAAATACAAGCATGCCCTTCCTCCTGGCTTTGTACTCAAGAAAGATAAGAAGAAGATGGAGGAACAGGAGGAGGATTCAAAGATATCATTAGAAGAGCTTATAGAGGATGAGGTAAGAAATAAATAGAGCAATTGATAGAATAAACTATTTTCACATTGTTAAGAAAATGAAGCTGCCCATTTTATTTCCAAAGAGTAAGACCTTACTTTTTTTTAACAATATCTTGATGTGCATCTCTCTTTTTATGCCTCCGTTACGAAGTAGCCGGAGGCATTATGTTTTCGGGTTATCCGTCCGTCCGTACGTACATACGTCCCGTTTTCGTGATCGCGTTATCTGAAGAAACTTTGGTCATGTATGTATCTTGCAGAGCCGATGAACTGATTAGATTTTGGGGACACGAGGTCACAAGGCTCATTATGTATGCAAAAACAGCTCGTGATCATGTTATCTCAAGAACCGATTGATGGATTCCTGCCAAACTTAGGTCATGTATGTTACTTGCAGAGCTGATGAACTGATTAGATTTTGGGGTCATGAGGTCAAGGTCAAAGGTCATGCGGCTCATTATGTATGCAAAAGTAGCTTGTGATCGCATTATCAATAGAACAGGTTGATGGATTCCTGCCAAACTTTGGTCATGTATGTATCTTGCTGAGCCGATGAACTGATTAGATTTTGATGTCACGAGGGCAAAGGTCAAAGGTCACAGTGTTCATTATGTATGCAAAAGCAGCTCGTGATCGCGTTATCTCAAGAACCGATTGATGGATTCCTGCCAAACTTTGGTCATGTATGTATCTTGCTGAGCCGATGAACTGATTAGATTTTGATGTCACGAGGGCAAAGGGCAAAGGTCACAGTGTTCATTATGTATGCAAAAGCAGCTCGTGATCGCGTTATCTCAAGAACCGATTAATGGATTCCTGCCAAACTTTGGTCATGTATGTATCTTGCTGAGCCGATGAACTGATTAGATTTTGATGTCACGAGGGCAAAGGGCAAAGGTCACAGTGTTCATTATGTATGCAAAAGCAGCTCGTGATCGCGTTATCTCAAGAACCGATTGATGGATTCCTGCCAAACTTAGGTCATGTATGTTACTTGCAGAGCTGATGAACTGATTAGATTTTGGGGTCATGAGGTCAAGGTCAAAGGTCATGCGGCTCATTATGTATGCAAAAGTAGCTTGTGATCGCATTATCAATAGAACAGGTTGATGGATTCCTGCCAAACTTAGGTCATGTATGTTACTTGCAGAGCTGATGAACTGATTAGATTTTGGGGTCATGAGGTCAAGGTCAAAGGTCATGCGGCTCATTATGTGTGCAAAAATAGCTTGTGATCGCATTATCAATAGAACAGGTTGATGGATTCCTGCCAAATTTAGATCATTTATGTATCTTGCAGACCCAATGAACTGAGTAGATTCTTGGTTCATAAGGTCAAAGGTCATGGGCTCATTATTTATGCAAAAATAGCTTGTGAACGCATTCTCATTAGAACTGACAGATGGATTACTATTTAACTCAGGACATCTTGCAGAGCCAATGAACTCAGTAGATTTTAGGGTCATGAGGTCAAAGATTTGGGATCCTGTATGTCAGTGAGTCGAAGAGGAAGAAGAAAAAATGCAGACTTCACAGAAATGATTATTTGGGTGTTTCCAATTGGATTTGTTAGTAAAATTCTCTCTTCAAATTTTTGCAGAAAGAAGAAGTTTACCCTGCTCTACCACATGGTATCATGTGTATCGTCTTTTGGATCTAAAAGGGCGTGAACTCTCTGCAAAAGTATAGATATTAACACCCTTAAGGGCTGTCAGCCATCAATATTATCTCCTTGGGAAATACTTCAGCATCATTTCCTTTGTAACTTTCAGACTAACAACAAGCAAATCAAGATACCAACCAGTACGATTAAATCGTATTTAGTACGATAATAAGAGTGAAATACGATAATACGATATATCACCTCTTAAAATACAATTTTTCATCATTCAACAACAACAACAAATAAAAAGCCCGTAAAACATACGGAATCGCATAGAAACATGTACAAGTAAACCCCAACCAAAACTTTGCTTAACTATTTTTTCATTAAATTTTAATGAAAGAGCAAACATTTTACTTGACCACTCTTACCAGTATAACATTTTTCTAACATTTTACTGGCCCAGGGCCAACGCGCTAGTGGTAGTGTCGAGTTTTCATGAAAATCTGATTTTTCTCTCCAAATTATGATGATTTTTTTTTAAGGATACTCAGTCTGTTTCTTTGTGTCAAGAGGTTGGCATCTCTGAATATTATGTTACCTCTTGATATTATGTATGTCATTTTTCAGAGGAATAAATTAACTGGTAACCTGACTAAGATCAACCTACAAACCTTCATGCAATGGAAGAAAAGGAAGATAGCTGAGAAGGTGGAAAAGCTGGAGGCAGATCAAAATAAGAAACGAAATGAACTCAAACAAGGCAAATCACTTGGGGTAAGTAAAGCGTAATCATTTCGGTTTTTAAGAAATAGGTCAGCGTATACGTATGGTTTTGCTTCAACTTTCAGCTATTTACGATTTTAGTTTTGATATTGGTCCTAAATAAGGTGGGTTTATGCATATAATAATCGGGCACTGCCAGAAGTACGCCAACATCCCAGTGAAACAGATGTATTAAACTACCACATGTTACAAATTACAATGGGATGACAATGAACTTGTTCTTATAACTGTTTCATGAAAAGATGACTAGTTTGATACAACATTTTGCAGGAGTTTCAGTGATATGGGGAAAACAAGAGTCAATTTATACCTTGGCCAGGTGTTACTAGTAACTTTCTCTTATGAATTTTGATCATTTCACTCTAACAGAGTGAACTAATTTTGCAGCTGTTAATAATTTTGAATGGATTTAAGTGATGAAGGCCATAGTCATAGTCAAATGGTTGACATACTTGACTGGAGATGCGAAGATCATGGGTTTGATCCCTGGCATAGCAGTCATGTCCTTAAGCAGGCTCCTTTCCACCCAGGTGTTAAATGTGTACCAGATGGATGCAAACAGTATTGTGGTTGGAAGAGCCATGTGCAGGCAAGCCTGAATGAATCAGATGAGGAGGATACTATATCTGTAAAACACTTTGAAACATATAAATCCAAACTGTTATTGACTTCGTCTTAAAGCCCATCTGCACTAGTTTGGCCAGGGGGGATTGAACCTCCCTTTAGGTCACTGACAGGTGGTTATCTCATCAAATCAGCTCTCAATTAACATGAGAAAAAGAGGATCATGGGGGACTAACAGGCACCGATTAAGCATTGTTTGCTGTATAGAGGGCGCAAGTAGCTATTAGTAGTGCAGTGGGGCTTTAACATACCTTCTGATTGGAACCCTTAGGTTACAGGACGTGAGCTCTTCTCATTTAAACCTGAGATGGTCGGTGAAGATGACGATGAAGGAGACGTCTTTACTTACAAACGAGAAGAGGAGGATGATGAAGAGGTAAGCATTCCGTCTTCCTTGAAACATTGATTACAAACAAAATGCTGCATTTAATCATAGATACCTTCATAACTTATGACAAATCACATCGAACGACAAGCACAAGTACCCATACTGGATCAGATTCCACATGAAGTTGGGTTACGTCATGCCATTACATTGTAAAAGCAACTGTCTAGAAGCATTTTATAAAGGTTGATTTTGTAGTAAAAAATAATTTGTGTTATTTTCTGGGGTTTGAACTCAACAAGATAAAAAGAATTGAGTCAATTTTGCTGAAAGTCATATGCACTGTGCACAGAAATGACTATATGGGACTACACGTACATGCACCATGAAAGTGTGGTCCAAACTTTTCAGCTATTCTCATTTGTTGTCGATATGAGGCCACTCGTAGCACAATCCTTTTCAGGATACATTTATTCTATTTTCTTCTACCACACTGACATATATAAGGAATAGGAAATCTTACAAATCATTTTCAATCATAACTCAACCTTCTCGATTTTGCTTTACTCATAGATGATATTTATGATAGTATTTTGAAAGAAAGATTTCTAGTTGACTCTTCCTCTCATTGTTATCTGTACACCCAACAGGATCCAGTGAATGTACAAGAAGTGAGTATAGAAGCATTTGCGGCCTTAGCGATGGAGGTTGATACGTCTTCTTCACACATCACCAGTAGACTTGATGCTCCTCAGCCCGCTGTTAATGGCCATGAAGATGGTAAGTGTGTCATCTTCCCTTTCAAGCTTTGCCATTATTCAAATATTTAAAGCTAAGTATGCTATTAATTGTATAAAGTATTCATATCTCCCCGTTCCTGAAATCGCTTGTCTTCTTTGCCCTGTAAGAGGATCATAATGAACATGATTTACCATAAATGCATTATTTAGCACTAAGTTTAAGTCATACTTTTTAAAAAAGGAATGTTTCTGCTAGATCTCATATGCCATGAATCATTATCAAATTCTTGTGATACTTGCCTAGTTTAGGCAGATGTTAGCTACCCCTTTATATTCCAACTCAGTGTGAATAATTGACAGGGCTCTTTATAGGTATGTAATATTCATGAACTCTCTTTCTGTCTGTCCATAGATGAATCGGGTAAACTGGATCAAGCTGCTGCCATACTCCCTGACGAAGAACCAACGTTAGGTGCCATCGCAGCAGCAGAGGGCGCTCTAGCAAACGGAGGTGATATCGACATCGATGAAGACCTGTTTGGTGCGGAATGCGACATTGAATTAGATGAAATTGACCTCGACGATTAAACTTCATGAAATTGACCTCGACGATTAAACTTCATGAATTTGACCTCGACGATTAAACTTCATGAATTTGACATCGTGTAACAATGCCTTTTGAATATCATGAAACCAGCTATAAGGAAGATTCCAGCATCATCGGTGATAGCCATTATGAAAGAAAGGACATGGACGACTCCTACCTTACTGTATCTTGTCAAGTCATCAATGACCCTTGACCTATACTGTATGGTTACAGGCACAAGATCTCAAGAGACATCACTACCTTAAACAGTGAGCCTTAGTCCCAGGGTGACTAGGATAACTCTATTTGTAGTTTGAGCCACATCTCTGCGCATTAATGGGAAATGGGGTCCCGTGATGGGACCAACCCCTGGACCCTTCAAAATTGAATATGAAGACTTCTGTGTGTAATCTGAACTGCTTATCAACTAACAAGACCCCCTCCCATCAATCCAGAATGTTGAGATAGACTGCTCTTGGAAAACAAGGAAAATCAGTCTGACAGATGTGTGGTCTTTGTTTTTTCATGTGGGTTTTTCTCCCCACTGAGAAAGATCGTGATCGTGACTGGCTCATCCGCAGTCATATTGACTGTTATGCATGATAATGAGTTCAAGCTACAGTCACTGATCGGTTGCTACCCTAGTTAATTAGAAGTTAGGCACATAACAAGGTATTATCGCACTTCAAATGATAACTTTCTTTAATCCAATTTTTAATTTCAAATTTGTTGCTGAAAGTGCTCATTTGTCACTATGGAAGGATTTGATTTATTTGCAATGATAATCACATGGAATAGGGAGGGGTTGATATTTCATTAGAAAGAATAAGTGTTGCCAATTTCAACACCTACAGGTAACTCAAAGGTTTCCTCACGGTGCAAATTCTCTGAATAAGCATCTAAGCAGATATCTTATCTTTGTTCAGGAAAAATTTATTTGAACTCTGAAGAGCATTGGAATGTTTTAAATATTATTCAATCTGGTTTGGTATCTTTTATCAAATTTAATATCTTTTATCTTGTATTGAAAATCAAATGAACTGTGAAAAGTTTTACTCATACGTTTATGTATACAAATCAAGAACTTAATAAATGAGCAGAGAAAATATCTATCGAGGTAAAGCTGTAAAGTAAATCCTATTCGCCCTTGCATAATGATTCTTCTTCGTAAATTAATTATTAAATGTAAAACACATGGTATTGTAATACATGTAGGTTTTAGTTGTTTGCTGCAAGACTGGTTACCATATACTTCACCTGACCTAGCACCATGAATATACTCAACTAGAATATTGGATCATGTCCAAGAATATGATACACTGTACATGTAGGTAAAGTTTTGAGAAGAAAATGTTTGTGCATTATATGTACATGTAGATGGCTTTGCACTCTTATGCAGGGTAGTCACATTCTCTTTTCTCAAATAATTACCAAACATTTAGAATTGAATTTGTTAAGCTCCATTTTCCTCATTGAAGTAATTCAGAGCATGGAAAGAATGTAACCTTTTTAGGCCAAAACTTGTTTGTCATAAAACAATTGAGCTGCTTGTGAAATTATACTGAGAAATGATAATCACCAGTCTTCCAATGTGCATTGTTCAAGTACTGGTAAATGTATCTGATTTCTCTGTCCCTTGATAGAAAAGTCTTGATAAGTTGGCAATTTCTACACAGGAAGCATGACATAAGAAAAGAGCTAATAATGTGGTCTTAAAAAATAAGATATGTGTACCTGTAATCTTAAAGAGAAGGTTGAGTTCTGGGGAGAGGTGAAAAACAATTTGTGAGCTTTTTCATTGTTATTATGCAAGTGTGGAAGAACAGCAGAGAAAAAGTGTTCCCTAAAAAGCATGGACTCTTCAAATGCCTTCATATTCTGAATATGGCACGTACACTGTAACAGCTTAAAAATGAGGACCACATTTTTATGCCACATGAAAGTGTAATCCCATATACACCTTTCTGTGAACAGTGCTTGTTACTTTTACCATAACTTGGCCAAATTTCTGATAATTTTGATGATTCCAGAACCTTGCAGAACCTTGCAGTACACGCCAATACATGCTACATGATCAACTTTTTCTGATCGATTCCACACCGTTTCTTTCACAATGCAATCGCATGACCAGAACTCAACTTTAACTTTAAACAAGTGAAGCCACATAATATATGTGCAGAACTTGTATAATTATACCATAAGAGTAATGTCATCTATTGAAAAATTAACTGTTGTATTTGCATGTTATTCTTTGATGCTTCTTTAAGATTCATTAATTATTCAACTTTTCTTCATTTTCTTGTTCTAGATCAGGGCTGTGTCTTATAAGCAGTTTTAATTAATCGCAACTATGTACATAAGAGTAGGAGACTGTAAACTTGCGAATGATTGGAGGACTTGGGATTGATTCAGATCAGTTGCAAGTCTTAATGAGTGACACAGGGCCCTTTTGTCCAATGAGGCATATATTTGTCTTTTGGTAAGCCAAAATGTTAATGAAATCCTGGAAAGATAGCATTGTTATACAATGCCATCAATGATTATTATTATTTAACTCTTTTTATATATTTGTTTTCTCTTTGGCTATAAAGCAGAGTTTGCAAATGTGTTTACCTTAAAGTAATATTTCCCTGTATGATATATCGTGCCCTTGGATGATGTATGCACCGACGCTGCAAATTTTTAATTTCATGTGTATTTTACAATCATAATGATAATATGCAGTGCATGCATCACACAGATTACTCCACCACACATACAGGTTGACCAGTCATGAAAGTCAATGCTTGATTAAATTGAATGTATTGATAATATCTGGCTTCAAGTTGAGTTGACGTGTGGAATTTAAATAAATACAGATATATATGTACATGTAGAAGAGTTTGTTTTGTGCTTTATTAGTATTAGGAGAGATGAAAGTAAATACATGTGCTTAAAATGAAACATGTAGAAAGAAATTAATTTTTAATGCAATCTCCCATGTCTCTACCCCCCCCCCTCTCTGTCTGTGTGTGTGTGTGTGTGTGTGTGTGTGTGCGTGTGTGTGTGTGTGTGTGTGTGTGTATCTCTCCCCCTCTACCTATATGTCTGTCTACCTCTCTCTATCCATCCCTATACCTGTCCCTATCTGTCTCCCTTTCTCACAAACACGCTCACCCACTCACACACTCTGACATTGGTTACTCTTTTTAGTCTGGTCTGTAGGATTGTCTTGTTTGGTTTGTTTTAAATTCTCTTCCACTTATTGGGGACTAATTAGTATTCAGGGTATGCACTTAGTTTGACCATGGACCATGTTTTGACTTGAGCTATAATATGGATTTCCATGTTTTTTATTTCATGTATACAATATTCAATCTATTTTGAATTAATCAATGAATATGCAGAAAGAACAGACGAAAATAAATTAATATCTGATTACAATAATGTGGGCGTTTATCATCGAGGCCGAAGTGATTCCCCTCAGAATTTAGTCTGCATTGTCATCTTTTATTCTCTTACAAAATTTTATTTCTCTTTGCTGAATAAACAAAGAGATATAATCTGTGTCTTTATTCGTACTTCCTCCTTATCTAATGTAAAATATGGAAAGAACGTAGAACATTCTGGGGGCTACGTACGAGTTTTAATCCTCAAGGGGGAAGGAAGATGAACGTGATTGTACCGGGACAAACATTTAGATTGCAGTTCACTGTGGGAAATATAGGATAAGTGGGGGAAATGTGATTTATAAGCAAGAGAAAGAGTTGATGCTCCAGGTCCTGGGAGGTACAGAGAATGTGGGAAATAAAGGGGAAAAGGTTAGGTGGTGAAGAATCGGGGGAGATAAGCGTAATAGAGGGATAAAGAGTGGAGAAAGGGAAGGGGAGAGATAAAGAAAGAGGAGTGAGTGATAGAGAAAGAGCGAACAAAAAAAGAGGTAGGGAAGGAGAGAGATAGAGAGAGAGAGACATACAGGCAGAGAGAGAGGGTTGATTTATGACATTTTACCAAAAGTTGCTCTTGGAGAGCCGAGACCGAGCTCTCAAATCTTACCCGACATTGCAACAGCTCCTGTATATACAGCTATTATTACACATAAGAAATCAATTCAATAATCCTTCACCTAGGGATCTGGGGAGAAACATCCCTAAATCTAAAGATTTCTATTATGAGACATTGACGGATCTGAAAGTACACCGGCTCACTGTTGGTCGTCAAAACTTGGATGACGGCAACGTGATTCTAACATTTCCTGTTCTTGCTCTCTCTGATAAAAATGTTCACAATTATCTTTCTGCACTGTATCAACTGTATTGTGAAACCTGTCAAGATTCAAGGTGTGATGCGGACAACAAAAAAATACAGCTGAACATCAAATAGTAAGTACATTTTAATCCATAATGATGTCACTGACAAATTTTCCTAGACCTATATAAATCAATGTTTCATACTACACTGGCATGTGCATATGCTTTTATTAATAGCATGAACTGATTAGAGACAACGCTTGTATATAACGACAGATCAATAATATAGCACGTCTATTGAGCATTAAGTATACAGTAAATGCGTGAGACCGTATATAATATCCCAGATAATAGCAAATAAACTGCAATGCAACATAATACGTGTATGTATGTGTTCAGGTAGTTTATATCATTTGTATGGATCAATCAATTTAATTTGTCTTACCAATGTAAAGCGATATATTCAGGGTAACCTAATAACTATATTTTATAAGATTTGAATGTTTTTACGACCATCTTGTTCATAATTTTGTAACTGATATTTTCTGCCACATTATATTCTCTCTGTTCTTCCTCCTTTTCCGTCTTTCCATAAATAGTTTTTACTTCTTCCACTTTTGTCTCATCATCAGACCGAACTGATAGGTCATTATACTTTTCCTCTTGATCCTCATTCGTAATCATACTTATAACGGTCTTCCTCAGCATGTGAATTTGTTCTGTAATTAGTAACTGTTATATGTATCATGCCTTTAATTAGTAAATGTATGGAGATACGGATAATTGTCATCTCTCATGGATATTGAGATTAAAATTGAACTCTAACTCGATCTTGTATTATATTGACCTTTGACCTGGTTGAGTGATATATCAATCTAATCGTATAGCTTAGGACTATGGTATCTTTAATACAAAAAATCGGTATAATAATAATAATAATATTGGCATTTATATAGCGCTCTTACAGACATACATGTGTATCACAGCGCTTTACAACATATTATTATTACCCCGGTCATCGGATTCAGGCTTACCCGCACACAAGGTATGCACATTCTCCACTCCCTGGGGAGCATTCCAGCCAGTCGCCATTTTACAAGCGCCACTTGCTAATCAAACCACATTAGCTTTCGCATCCTACCGGGTACCCATTTTAACACCTGGGTGGAGAGTGGCAAATGTAGATCAATGTCTTGCCAAAGGACATTAGTGCCGCGGCGGGACTTGAACCACGGACCTTGTGATCCACAGTCCGGTGACTTATCCACTCGACCACGACACCTCTACGAGAAACCTAGACCACCATGTAACAAATGGCAAAGATTCAATGTACAATGTTTTAAGGTAGTTTTCTAGATCACATGTGACGACTTTGATACCCTAAATCATGAATGCACCCTGAACGAATTAGTATTCCATTTATTTATATAATACTGTCAACAACATTTTCAAAATTAAGTAGGCCTATGTATTGAAATATTGCAGAGGGTTACAGAAAATATATTCTTGTAGCCTCTCCTTTTAGATTTACAGACGTGTAGAATTACCTTTTGAACATTAATACCATAGGCGATAATCAACTCTTAAATGTGTTTCCATTTCTTTTTCTATCGGGAGGGGGTTCTGTTTCTTACATACCCCTCGGCCTACAGATGTCAAATCACTTTTAATAAAGGAAAATGCCCTTGGATGTTTTTATTCATCACCAATCACGGCTAGCTTATTCATTCATCAGCCATATCATCTTAACAGACGTCTAAAGCTAACTCTAATCCTTCTTTCATGTTCCTCAATTCCCGAAGGGGGACATTTCCTAACTGATTCCGATCGCGAGGAAAGGGTTACACGCGATCGTTCAACTTGAAAGAACCTTTTTTTAATGTTTTTGTTATATTTTATTTTCTGTTCTTCGTGAGAAAGAAAGGAGAACGAACGGGGAAACGATGTGTCTTGATTAAAGAAGGCAGAAAGTAAGAGCTGTCGTCAATACACATGTCAGACATTTCAATCCCGTTGATATCTCATATTTGAAAACTGAGCAATGTGGGTCCCACACTATGTGATAGATCTCGTCTGAAACACACCGTATTTTTTCTGTATACATGTACTTTCAAATAAATACCTAAATATGCCAAAGATTTTGTATCTTTGTTTGACAAAGCTGTGACATTGCTGCCTCTTAAAATGATTACAGTGGAAGAATATTTTGTCATCTTTGATAACTGACACTCGGAGTACAAAATTAATGTAAAATCACTTTGAGTAAGGTTAGCTGTTGATGTTAAATCATGATCTGTTTTGGCAACAAGTCAACAGAATACAGAAAAAATTATTTTGATTTATTTTGTATGATAATACAAAGATGTGTCGATTTGTCAAAACATAAGAGCTATTACCCTAATAGAGAGATGTGAAATTTAACATGTTTAACATCCTTGTGTATGACTGATAAGCTTATACAACGCAATATGTGCCTGTGCCGTTCCCTCCCCTCGACACCCCCCCCCCCCCCCCCCAATCTCTTTCTCTTTCTCTCTCTCTCTCTCTCTCTCTCTCTCTCTCTCTCTCTCTCTCCCTCCCTCCCTCTCCTCTCTCTCTCTCTCTCTCTCTCTTGGGTGATGTCGGACAACTTGAATACCCATCTATTACATCAAATTCTAATGTTCCATGATCAGGTGGGAAAAATGTATATATAGGCATTTGGCACTCTGCGAATAACATGACATGGATTATTCCACACATTGATGCTTAGTCATCAAGGTATCATTGGAGAGCAGGTAATTTCGACATATCCATCTGCGTTCTACACAATCATGTCTTATTCATTATTTCCAAGAATGTTATATCGGAAGATTTTCGACGACTGTTCAGATATTATATTCTATAGCTGATTTTTGTTTAATGGATTTAAAGAACAAACGAACAAATACTACTAATAATGATAATAATTAATGATAATGATGATGCAGATATTTATAATGAGCAAGATAGCCACCAGGGCCCCATTTCACAAAACTTGTCATCAGCGACTTTTTGTCATAAGCTAAAGTGAAATCCTTGCTTCTGAATAGTTATCAGAAGATTTCTCAATGATTTTTGTCATTTATCATTGAAAAAAGGCTTTGTGAAACGGGTCCCAGATGGTTCTCAATGTGCGTATTAATAAATAGATTAAAATGTAATAACAAAAGTACTTATAATGAAACATGATAACAGTTACAGTGGAATAGAATGAACATTTTAACCTGTGTAAATTTCCACTTTTCTGTATATACACACATATAGTTATGAGAAAATATCATCATCATCATCATCAAGGTAGCTTTGATTACTTGGCAACTATCGAATTTCATAAAACCGCACATCAAAACAATTACTCATACTTTGGAATTTGAATGTCACTCTAGGGACTTTTTCTTTTGTGGTTAATGCAATAAACGAAAGTAACCATCATTGCATACTTTATGACGCAATTAAATTTAATAAATGAACTAATAAATAAATACTTTTTATGGATATAGTATTTCCCTACGTCTTCTTACCCTTGGAATTCAGAATTCGAGGGTAATTAAAATTAAAATGGATTAATTGTTTAATTGTTTTTTTAACGAATTCCAACGTTGCTGTCAGTGTTTATGCTTGAAGC